ATTAGAAATCTTCCTTATGAGAAGATTCAAGACTCTTAAGTTACATTCACTTGTTAGACGAAGCATGAGGGGAGACCTGATCGATGTGTTAAGTGGAAGATAGGTTATTAATAAAGGGGATATTAATAAGGTTCTTGAGGATGTCCTCAAGAGAGAACCGCAGTAAGGGATTTAAATTAGATAAGTTTAGATTTAGAAAGGACATAGGAAAGTATTGGTTTGGAAATAGGGTAGTTGATGAGGGAACAGTCTACTTGTTGGGTTATTGAGGCTAGGACTTTGGGGTAGTTTCCAAATCTAGGTTGGATAGTTCATGAGTGGGAAGGGGTTGGATTTGGAGGGGACTTTCACCATCGAGCTTATTTCTTGGGTAGCAGTGGAAAATTGGGGTTGGGTAAATGTTTTGTTAGTGGGATGAATTGTAAGGGACCTGCCTAGTATGGCCAGCAAGGGCCTCCTGCAGTGCTCCTTTCTTATGTTCTTTATGTTCTTATTGTTATTTTCAGTAAAAGTAGAGGCATTAGACAAGGGATGTGTGATGTCACCGTGGTTGTTTAATATATTTATAGATGGGGTTGTAAGAGAAGTAAATGCGAGGGTCTTTGCAAGAGGCGCCTGAGTTAAAAGATAAAGAATCACCACACAAAGTGGGAGTTGTCACAGCTGCTCTTTGCTGATGAACTGTGCTCTTGGGAGATTCTGAATGATGAAGTTGCAGAGATTGGTGGAATGAATTGGGTAGGGTGTGCAAAAGAGAAAATTAAGGTGAATACAGGAAAGAGTAAGGTTATGAGGATAACAAAAAGATTAGGTGATGAAAAGATTGAATATCAGATTGGAGGAGAGAGTATGGAGGGAGGTGAATTGTATTCAGATATTTGGGGTGGACGTTTGTCAGCGGATGGGTCTATGAAAGATGAGGTTGATTCATAGAATTGATGAGGGGAAAGAGTGAGTGGTGCCACTTAGGGAGTCGTGGAGACAAAGAACTTTGTCCTTGGAGGCAAATGAGGGGAATGTATGAGAGTATGTTTTTATCAACGTCTTATATGGGTGTGTGCAATTAGTGTTTGCCTCCCTACACCTTCGGGTAAACCAAGGACTCGTTTTGGTCTTCCTATTATTTTCCGTTTCCCTTGGGAACAAAACTTTCCTCTGCCTCTTTGCACTTTGTTGCCACATATTCCATCATCTCGTTTACTGATTTTCCTAACCATTTCTCTGTCCACTGAACATCTGCAGGTGTTTTCTCATACCTGTGTATGTCCCCCCTTTTTATAGTTTGGCCTGTTCCCCTTCAGTTACTGTTACCTTCTCCACTTGTTAACTTACTATATAGTCAAAACTCAGAACCACATGATCGCTAGCTCCAAGCGGGGGCCTCTCCATAAGTGATGTCTCAATGTCTGAACTGCTCAGGGTGAACACATGATCAGTCTTGCGGGCTCATCCTCCCCTCTCTCTAAGGTTGTGTCCCTGACATGATTGATGCATGAGGTTTTTCAAGTACCCACTTCCATCTTCTTGGTTCTCCATGTTTTGGGCCCCCATGTGGCTCAGTTTTCCAGTCGATCTCTCTGTGGTTGAAATCGCCCATTACCAGTACTTTGCTCTGCTCGAGTGAGCTCTTCTTGCACCTCAGCCAGTGTGTCCTCCATCACCTGTTGTTTTCTTCGTAATCCTCTCTTGGCCTCCTGCAGTTTGTGGTGGGTTATACATCACTCCATTGACTACGTTATGTCTCCGGACTGAATTGTACCTACAATGTAGTCTCTTTTCTCAATCATGTCCGTGCCTTCCATTTCCTCAAATCCCCATCGGTGTGTTATGAGCAGTGAAACCCTCCCCCCCTCTACTCCTTCATCTTTCTCTGGCAATCGATATCCTGTTGGGAAGATTGTGTCTGTATTGGTCTCAGCGAGTTTTGTTTCTGTGACTGCTATGATGTCTGGGGATTTTTCACTGATTCTTTCATTCCACTCTCATGTTTATTCATTATTCCATCCGCGTTTGTGTACCAAGACCTTTAGGTTTCTGTTCTATATTGTGGTATGCAAAGATTTTTGGGGTTGGGGGAGCGAGAGCATTGGTTGGGGGCTATATTTTAGGGCTGTGTGTTGTAGGAGGGGTTTGTGTGATGGGGTGGGGTCAGATGCCATATGGGACAGCTGTTGGGGTGAGGTTTGTGAATATGGGGATTGGTGGCAGAGGGAACAGTGGAGTGGGTTGTAGTCATAGCGTTTGCTCAGTTGCGTTGGGAATGTCGCGGGTGGAGTTTTTGGTGGGAGATTCTGTGGAGTTGTGTTTGCCCTTCATCCTGTGTCTTGGGTCCTGCGCTCATTTTCATTGCTTCTCGTGCCTCCTTGCGTCCTCTGTACCCTCTCCTTCAGTGTAGTCCTTTCTTCTCCCTGTGTTCTGTCGCGGTCGAGGTATACTCTCTGAGTACCCCTCTTTGTTCCCTCAGTTCTTGCTTTCTCTTGCAGAAATCTGGTCTTTGTTCGAATTGATTCTCCTTGAAAGTTACTCGGACAGGCCGTTCCTTCCACTCGCAAAACACCCAATTCTCTGAAAATTTGTCACCGGTCATATTGCCCTCCCCTCATTGTTTTATGGATGCCTTCAATCATTTTTTTCTCCTCCTGTTTTTATTTATTCAAATTGGCCCCCTTGGCTTCTTGGAGCCCATACACAAAAACTTACTCGCCCTTTCCTCCTCCACTGAGTCTCCATTCTGTGTGTGTGTGCCTTCACTCAGGGCGTGTGTGTGTGAGGGAGGGATGGTTATGGAGGGGGGGGGTTAGGTGGTGGGGTTTAAGATCAGTTTTATACCTTTCTGTCGTGTAGGACTCAAATTTGTCCCAAAACTGTCTTTTCCTAGTAATGCCTCATTTCTCTCCACTTAATTGCCATTCTGTTTTTAAGTATCAATTATTGCTGGTTATTATCTTATTCCTTGTTCACATTGAGAGAGGACTTCCTAGCTTGCTAAGTATTTGACTGCAATAACTACTGGTAGTTAATACTACCTAACCCCTATGTTACCCCTCGCTAGACTGCTGTCCTTCCACACTCGTCAACACTATCTTACTTATCTAAGCTATTTTCTACTATAATTCTGTTAAATAGCTTGCAGGAGTGACCAGTATCTAACAGAGATGCAGGCCAGAAAGCCTGAGCTTGCAACATGCAAACCACAAATAGGTGAGAATACTTGCGCTGGCACGGTTGGCTGTGACAAGCTGCCAGATGCTGATTCCCAAGTCATCGTACGGTAGGCCTTAAATGCCTATTTGGTAGATCCTTCACCTGTGATGGTGTTATAAACATATGTGGCATGCATCCCGCGTTCCTCACGCGGATTTCACTTTTCACTTATGATAGTATTACACTTAACATTATATACACTTCAACTTTATATGTTATAATGGCACACAGCTTGTCGTGACGTCACTGCTTCAGCAGCTATGCTGCCACCTTCCCTTGTTATATATTTTAATTTTTACCTTTCCCCTTTTGCTTATGAGCTTTTTTCCTCTCACTGTATGGTGCCCCACAATTTCATTTTGTTAGCCAGAATGCTGGTAATTCTTGGAAACACCCACTTCCACACTCACTTTGATCTTTGTTATGTTTGAATTCGTGTGGCATCAGCGCCTATTAGACCCACAAAGTTTGGCCTTTGAAATATTGATGATTTTTAACTTCCTCTCAACTTTTTTTAACTAATAACTTTAGTTTTCACTCGTAGTATTGTTTCACTGACGATGTCACTACCACTGATTATGCTAGCAGTTACTGCCACACGCCTTAAAAACACTAGGGTTCTCTGAGCCTTGTGTACCCACGTCTGCACCCACGGACACACGCTGTGTGTCAGTGTTTTAGTGTCATATTGTTATAGTGTCACCATCACTGTATGTCTAGTGTTTTAGTGTCACCATCACTGTCATGAGTGTTTATAGTGTCACCATCACTGCATGTCTAGTTCTATAGTGTTCACCACTGTATGTCTAGTGTTATAGTGTCACCATCACTGTAGGTCTAGTGTTTATAGGTCACCATCACTGTTTGTGTAGTGTTATAGTCACCATCACTATGTATTAGTTCGTCACCATCACTATGTCTAATGTTATAGTTCTTCACCATCACTGTAGGTCTAGTGTTATAGTGTCTCTATCACAGTATGTTAGTGTTATAGGTGTCCACTATCACTGATGTCTAGTGTTATACTTTCTCACCATCGCTGTATGTCTCTGTTGTTGTCACTATTCGATTTGTATGTTTAGTGTTGTGCATCTTCATGTATGGTCTGTTGTTGTGTCACCATCACCACCATTGCCAAATGTGACACCTAAATATGTATGGTTGTTGGTGTGTTAGTTTCAGATGCCAACATCTCAACATGTTCAACAAAATTAAGGGAGGTCTACAATGGGTGCCTAAACAAACCTCAATTGGCTCCTCCATGTCCTCACTGGGATGTTTTATTGTAGTTGGTTCCTGCAACAAAATACTCTTCTTTGTAGTAGATATGTTTTGTGTGTCTTGGCTGGCTCAGTAGCATTTGCATCTACTATTTACACTGTAGTTGCAAATTAATGTTGGGTGTGGGTATAAAAGCGTGTATGTACAATGTATGCTCGAGTGTTACACATCAAGTGTATGTGTGATGTAATGGTGGTGGTGTCATTATGCAGAAAATAATCATTCAATTAATTAGAAAGCTTGGTGTATAAATGATTAATTGGAGAGTGAAAGATGGCTGTTGCACATTAGTTTACTCTTGTATAGAAGGTGCAAGGTCTGGATTAAGAGTTAAAAATGTGGAATGGATGTTGAAAAGAGGTGGAGTGGACTATATATTATAGGAACAGGTCTGAAAATATATTTGGTATGGTACCAACCCTGTAGAGTCATAGTACCAAATTTTGTGTTTCCCCAGGCACCTGGAATGATACATGTTATACTTTTACTTTTGTACTGAAATAACTTTCTTTTAGTTCCAGTTAACAAGGATCAATGTGCAGTTACCACCCGAGACAGAGCCTCCAAATTTAATGCTGCCTTTGGTATACGACAGTGTGAGCAGAGGCCATGATCACGGGCAACATTCCTAGCATTACTGTGTAGGTCTCAATGTATCATGAGCCGTCCCATTGTACAGCCCAGTGAGATGTGTCTCTATCCGTGTATTCGAGAGTTGCTGTGCAGCTTGAGTCTGGGTCCCCGATGGTAATGCCGTAGCTACTCCACCATGTCAGTAGGCCAGAGCACACCCACATCTCAGGGGGCTCTGTACCTCAGTCGTTGGGGTCGCCCTATTTGACTTTCTCCTCACATGGCCTCTCCACACACTCCTGGTTCTTCTGGAATAACACCAACAGTCCAGTCGTCCATGGCATTTTCGATGTCACAGAGCATGATCTCCTCACCCACAGGTACTGCCACCACCATGTGGCCACACTCAGCAACCCTAGTATGGTTTCTACAATGTCTTTGGGGGGCACACTTCAGTGGACCAAAAACCCAGTGTCTGTTTGTAGGACATACGAAAACCAAACGCTCGGCTCTATGGGACCTATGGGACCACAGGGTATGCAGAACATGCAAGGAGGCATGCAACCAAGCCACATGCAGCAGCCCATGACCTCTATGGCTGGAGGAATGTTGCAAGCTGGACCACGAGGAATGCAGGGTGGACCATCAGCTGTGCAGAGTGGACAGATGGGTGATGGCCCTGGAGGCATGCAGGGTATGGCTATGGCAGGAGGTGGCATGCAGGGTGGACCAGGAGGCATTACAAGGCCCTGGTAGTATTCAAGTTGGACCAGGGGGAATGCAAGGAGGTCCAGCAGGAATGCAGTCTGGTCCAGGAGGCATGCAGGGTGGAATGCAGGCGGACCTGGAGGGAGCAAGGTGGATTCAGTGGAAACAAAAGATGGGTTTAATTCAATCACTAATTATGTGGTTAAACCCACATGTATATAGGCATAACACTCAAAGTTTAAAAAGGCTTTTATTTATGCATTATCCCCATTTACGAGATGCGTGTGTGCTGTGCTCAATATTGGATATGTGAGTTTTAGCAAAAAGGGATTAAAAGCAGTATTTTATTATGTTTTTTTGCTTTATAAGTTCTATATTATTTTTTGAATCTTGCAGAAGATTTGTCACTGAGGAGCTGTTTAGTAAAAAAGGCCAAATTCCATAATTAGTTTTATTTCTCCTGGTTTTTAGTAATACAAATCTGTTGACAATTGTGTGATCTTGAAATTTCCTTCATAGGTCAGACATGCCTTGAAGATTTTTTTCTGGTGTATGATGTTCTAAATATTTAACCTTTGAGGGTCGACAGGCCCTCTCAGAAACTCGTTCTCAGGGTCGGCCCAAATTTAAAAAAAAAAAAAAAAATTTATGAAAAAAATATTTTTTTTTCTAAACATTATAGGCTAAACAAATATTTTTTACCATCAATATTACCCAGATATGGAGGCATGAAGTTTGCCAAAATTGAACAACATCTGGTAACATCGCCAATGCCGTCGCCCCGGTATTTTTTCTATTTACTTTTTTATGTATTTTTCAATTATTTTTTTAATTTTTCTTTATCTGAGTAACTTTTATGACCTCTGAGACCAATATGATCAGTATTTTTTAAGTTATTTCGTTTTCAATACTACACAATAAGGGCGTTTAAAACACTGTTGTCATTATTTTGTTTATAGAAAATATTTACACAAAAAAACTATATGAAATGTTTTTTTATTACTATTTTTCTATATTTTATATCACATATCAGTCACGGGAATGTTTCTAGAGTTTGCAGCCTGTGGAAGTC